GAGAGAGAGAGAGAGAGAGAGAGAGAGAGAGAGGGAAAGAAATCTTTCGCGTCGTTTTCCACGTAAACGGACTGAATCGAGTTTATCGTTTCGATCGTGTTCCGTACGAAAAACAGTAAACAAAACGGGATTGTTTCTTCGAGTATTTTTGACCATTGGAATTGGGCTCGAGCCCGCTATCTTCCCGGCGACGCGCGATTTAAAACCACTCAGATATCTATCATTTGCGACCGCCAATTTATTACAATCCTTTCGATAAACGTACGTTCAACAAACAAGTTTTCGGGAAAAGAACAAAATGCTATGCTATATTAGGAATTTCATTTGTCAAATTTAGTAATAAATAATTAATAAAACATTTATCAATTTTACTCTTGTTACCGAAATTTACTGAAACTTACGTGACAGAAGATATATACGCGCCTAAACCGTACACGTACGTATAAATCTGGAGAGAATTTGCCGTTAAGAGACATTATGCGAATCTGCTCGGTACAAGAAAACGTCGAAACAGAGTGCGCACTTCAGGAAATCTCCACCGGAACAAGAGTCTAGCTAATCTCGGATATTTCGTGCTAGCGGGACAGACGTTGGGAATATCTTCGTTTACTTAAGGAACGTCGTTGCGCATTTTTCACTGGGACGTCAAGATGGTTTTACGAGAAAGGGGGTTGAATAATGGGCGTTCGTAGTGCCAGTCGCTGGGAAGAAGAAACAAGTAGAAGCCCTGCGAGGCACCAAAGCATACCGTCCCCTTTTGTTCTTTCGAGTATAATGGACATGCATCGTATCTCTTTCTTGCTGCTTTTTAATGTACAATTTACACGAATGGAATTGAAAGAGAAATCGATGCCCTAAATCGTTAGAAGTGAAACGTACAAAAGACGTACGGCTTTGGTATCAAGGGACCACGGGCTTGAGTTTTCTCCCCCAGCGAGAGACGCTTCTCTTTCCCTCTTTCTCTTTCTTTTTGCCTTGGTAATCACGTAACAGCGCGCGATGATCGAAAGCTGTGGAAAAAAGCGCGGATTCAGTCGGTGGTAAAACATGCAGCGCACGTTTCCCCGATAAGTTTATCTTCTAATTTATTTACGGTTCAGACGTTTAAAAGCGGCGGATGAAAACGGATAAATACGAGCTACAAATCCTGAAAGTACATTGAAATTATTCTATAATCTGATGGAAATATTTCGTTGAAAAAGATAAAATGAAAGAACGTAAAATACAATTGCGATGCATCGTGTATTTTACGTTTACACAACGTTATTGAATATATTACCGAATCGTAACGTTACATTTTATTAAGCTAAAAAGATTCATTATAGATATAATTAATTAAGGCATTATGGATTATGCATAGCGTTATCGTGTAATCATTTATGCGTGGTTATGAATACTATCGAATTTGACGAGTGGGGGGTTTCATATTCGATGTTGCAGTATCGATTGTACAGTTCGAGTTTCAAACTGCGGATTACACAATGATAGCGTGAACTTTCAGATTTTGGAGGTTATGTCACGGAACGGTGATATCACAAGGACTTCAGTTACGACTTTAAAACGTAAAAATGTTGTTACACTTTTGTTGTTTAATTGTATGGAGTGATTCGATTGATCTGAATTTATTTTAAAATTATATCATACGTAATGTGAGCATTTCTACTTCTTAATACCGGTCGATTGCTCTGCGAAAGCAAACAGTGGTTCCTACAAATACCTGTTTTTGACACCTCGCAAAAATGGATGATCAAGCTTGTCCGAGATGCAAAACTACCAAATATCGAAATCCATCATTAAAAATGATGGTGAACGTTTGCGGACACACGTTGTGCGAAAGCTGTGTTGATTTGTTATTCTTGAAAGGTTAGTGTGCTTTGAGGTTAGTAATTCATAAGCAAAGACTCATCTGTATAATCTTGCAGGGTCTGGATCGTGTCCCGAGTGTAAGATTCCTCTGAGAAGAGTGAATTTTCGTGTACAATTATTCGAGGATCCAATGGTGGAGAAGGAGGTGAACATAAGGAAAAAAATCCTTAGAGACTTTAACAAGAAGGAGGAGGACTTTGCAACGTTAAGAGAATACAACGACTACTTAGAAGAAATTGAAACGTTGATATATAACTTGGCTAATAATATTGATGTAATAGAGACAAATAAAAAGATAGAACAGTATAAGAAAGACAATAAAGATCAAATAACAAAAAGTAAGTCGAAAATTGGTAGAAGCGAATACGAGTTGGAAGAAATGATCGAGTTGGAGAAACAGAAAGAGGAGGAAAGAAGATTGGAAATAGTTAAAGAAGAGATGGAAGCTAAAAAGAAAAAGATCCGAGAAAAGGAAGCGTTGATCGATGAACTTACATTTTCAGAAGGAAATGCGAAGAATATTGTGGAAACGTTCGCTTCTGTCATACAAGCATCGAAGAAGGAACAGAAGACAGCATCTAGTAAAGTCAATCAATTTAGCACAGGAATTAAATTTGGCAATCAGGGAAGTCAGAATTACTTGCCCATACCAAAGATCGAGGAAGGCCCTTTGTATTCTTACACTCCTATTAGACAAGGAATGGATGGTCCAACACCACCAAGTTGGAGAGAATTGCAAGCTCGTGGATATATTTCTCATGTACGCGTCGAATCTGCATCAGAAAGGGCAGGTGGATTCAAGGCACACGTTGCTTGCTTAAGAGCGTTACAGGAATCCATGGCTGGCTTGTATTATAATCCTTCACAACGTCATACAGAATTCACAACTGTATGATTGTACAGACTGTTTTAATACCAAGGAAATCATATCTCTAGTTTTATATATAGAACGGTATCTCTGATTGATCATCATTCAATAAGCAATACATGCTAAGTTAATTACATGTACGTGACATAATCGAAATTGTAGGTAAATGTGCCTTGTATATTTATGTAATTTTTAGTATCGCATATTATATATTATGATTATAATATGAAAGCTACACCACTGTAGTACCTGGCTAAGTTCTTACAATGAAAAGAATCGTTCTTTCATTTTGTAGTAAAATAAAATTCATTTTGTTAAAAAATAATAGTTTATATTAATACTCTCTTTCGCCCTACCATTGACAGAGTAAAACTTTGTTTCAGTCAAAATACTGACAGTGATTAAAATTAAAATTAACTATGAAGTTATAAATCGTTCTAGATGAAATAAAATTTTTACGTATAGGAGAAGGATAGATGGATTTCTTTGATTCTCTAATTGAGATGGTTAAACATTAAACATAGTAGACGAATATCATTATTTATGAAAAAAGGTGATAAGAATAAATATTTCGACCTATCAAATAAAATATGTAAATCTTTATATACATATTTTGTAAACTGAATAAGCCAGGTACTGCCATCTCTCGAAACAAATGAAAATGGAAAGGATAAAAGCTTCGATTGGAGTTATGAGAATAGCCATAGATCACAGACGAGTTAATCAACCAGTGAATGCGCCAGAAATATGATTTTTGAAATTCATCAGTGTTGTCAAATTTTCAATACCGAAATGTGAAGCTAGTATTTAAATGAAATGAATATTTAAATAAAATTTTAAAGTTATTAATAAAATACTAAAGAACCTATAAAACTCAAATAAATTTTATCAAAAGTTTGATACAATATGAGAAAAATTAAAGAGAAGAAAGAAACAATCAAAAAAAAACATTACGATATATTAGCCAGTAGAATGGTTATAAAAAAAAGTAGCATTTCCAATACAATAACCAGAAGGGATCAAAATTAGACACAAATTTAACAACTATTGATTTATATTTTTACCTGAGAATTTCTGGATGACACTTCTTCCTGGATAATATTTTCGTCTTTATAGATGAAGTGTGCTTTTTTCGCCATTTTTAACCGCTACTTCCCGGTTAAAAATCGATCATGAGAAATATCGATTTTGAGTTCGAGAATCGTAGGAAGTGTATTACGTATTCCGCTGTTGGCGCTGTAATCGCCTGTTTCGCACGAAATGTTGACTAGGAAAAAAAAAAAATAAAACTCTAATCAAAAACAAAAAATTCATGAGAAATACCTAAAAAAGAACGAAAATATTGATACACAAGATGAAAATGATTATCAATACCTTAACTGAGATATGAGAGATTTTATTATATTACGCAATGGAATTATTATTATTTTAGCCATTAAATACGTACATTCTTAATAAATTATTGTTGAATTTAGTATTAAAATTGTTAAGAATTACGCAATATATGAACTTGAAGAATCAATAAATGAATGTAAAATGTCGCAACAGAAGTAAAAGCATATTATATGTAATAATAAGTCAGTCATATTACAAGGTCACAATATTTGTGCTGGTTAAAATTGAAATTAAATATTGGAATAAAATTATAAATAATTTTTAGCACGATGTATTCTGTTTAAATGTTTATTTGCCATTATTTCTTTAATTGTTGAAATTATATGTAATTATTTAGTTAAATCTTACTTGAAGCCTGAAATGCACGCTTTATCTTAAAAATTCGCAACAGAAGCGCAAATTTAACAGTTATTGATTTAAATTTTTATCTGAAAACTTTTAAATGACACTTCTTTCTAGATGATTTCCCTGGATAATACTTTCCTCTTTATAGACGTCGTGTGCTTCCTTCCGCCATTCTTTCTGTTTAAAAATCGATCGTGAGAAATATCGATTTTGAGTTCGAGAATCGTAGGAAGTGTATTCCGTATTTCGCCGTTGGCGCTGTAATCGTTAACTAATTTAAGCCCAATACGCGCGCATTTCGCACGAAACTAACTCGGGATAAAAAGTAACAATATTTGTAGAAATACTTATTTGATACGTTCAATCCTTTATATAAAATAAAATAAAAATATATTTTAATCAATTCTTCCTAATATTTTTAAACAGATGTAAATAATCAAGTATATAATAAATTTTTTGTCCCAATTATCATCAATTTCGAATCGTTATATTTTTTTTATATTATTATTTATATTTTTATTCTATATTTTATATTTTGTATTTTGTATTTTATATCTCTTATTACATTTATATTCTTTTACTGATGAAGCATCACTGTATTCAATCCAATAAATTATACATATATTTATGTCTATATTGTCTAATTTTTCTCGTAATTTTTCTTATCTATTTTAATGTTAAAACAAATAAACCCCGAGTCTCATCATACATAACATTGCCAACGATATATATATATATATATATATATATATATATATATATATATATATATATTATATATATATATATATATATATATATATATATATATATATATATATAAAACTGTAAAGAAATAAATAAACAGTCGTCGTCAAGTAATATGTATTATGTAAGTGTTAAACATAAAGTACAAAATTTTCTTTTGTAGTACGATGACTTTATCATTTACCCTTATCGTATCTACAGAGAAACAAACACTAGCGTCGCATCGTGGCGGAATGGAGGAACTAAACGCTACATATTCAAATCATTATCACCAATAGCGCTGTAGTGCAATACTTGCCTAAGTCGATATGACAGGATGTGATACGAAAATGGTAACCGGATCAAATGACCCCCAAAACTTGAGACACGAAAAAACATTGGATGTCCAGTCTACTTAGTCAATGGTATAACTCGATTGTGGTTCTGCTAGTACTGACGCTACCACGCTCGTTGTTTGCGACGTAGATGTGTCACATGCGTTAAACGATGTTAAATTTATTTATACGATCTAGGATGTTGAGAATATTTTCACGTCTTAATTTTTATTATTGTCAGATATATTGAAACAATTTGTTCCTGAAATCGTGCAATGTAAAAATCTTTCGATGTAGTAGCTGTAAACAAAGTAAAATTATTAACAGGATATAAAAAAGTACATGTATAATTTATTTCTAAGCTTAGGTAAAAGAAGAAAGAACAGATTAATCGTTTCCATTGAAATTGAAATCATAATATGGCGCCATGGGTACTGGCGTTTAAAACGCGTTTTAAGCACACCTATCTTATACCATTTTATACTTTATGGATATGTAGGGCCTGAGTAGTCGGGACAACAGGAAATATGGCGGCAGTGCGCCGGGTACAAAGGTGAATTCGTATAAATTACTTTTGTTTGTGACGATTGCTTGACCAAATAGAAGGGACAACGTTGTAATGAGAGTGTACAATGCCTAGTGATAACATGTGTAGTGTTTTGTGACGAAAATAACAGCCCGTCGTGGCTGAATCGGATTCTCGTTATTGGATTGTCGTCGCACGAGACGCATAATTTGGCAGTGTCCTCGAGGTGGCAGGTATGCAATTCAGAGAAATACTCTTGAAAACATTAGAGCACGATTATTAATCTACAAATACAAATAATTATTATCAAATTTATCACGTTATTCTTGTTGGAAAGTTCCGATATTGTTGTCTCGTAACATCGATTCGTTTACGATCTGAATCGGGTGTGTACCCTGTTGTCATCAATAGGACATTGACTCCTTGAGACATGCCCCCGTTCGATCTTTCCCTTTAACTGTCCCTGAACTACGTAAATTAGGCTGACGTTATTCGAATTTTCGATATGAAGAAATATCGGTGCGAATATTTCAGGTTTCCGAGACACGAATCGAATAACATGACATCATTATAAAAAATATCGTGATATTTGAGAGTTTCAGATAATCAGATAACAATCGAATTGAACTTTGTATTTCGAGCAGTAGCAGCATTGAATGTTTCTCACACGTAAACAGTGTGATCAGTCGCCTGCTATTGACCTAAGTTAAAACGCTCGCCGTTAACTATTTAAAGCGACTACTCTGGCAATGGCCATGAATACGTGTTTCATTTTTATTCGCGGGCCAAATTAGTTGAAGTTCAATCGATAATGTTCAAACATTATGATTCAGTGTTGTGCGAAAATATGAATGAAATATGATTGAATGACACTTTATAACGAGGAAGTACGAAATGACCTTCGCATTCTGTTTTGTACGAACGTCTTATCGAAACGTCAATGTTTTTCCTGTTATGTACGTGACGTGACGTTATTTGTATAATGTATTGCTAATTTTAATTTCGAAAATGTTAAAAATAGCAATAGGGAAAATATTACTAGCCACGAGAAATAGTTAATTATATATATGATCGCGATAACGAATAATAGAACACGAGTTATACACGTGTACGCATGCTGGATATATTAGTGATATATAGGTCAAGCGCTCCTCAACATCGAGGTCATTGCCCCAGGATTTACTCTGTCGATAAAACAGTCGTTAATTGGCTAAACTTGTTCCATTACCCACATAGTACCTGACGATAGAGGTCACCATCTGAGATATTCATAATTTATCTCTTTGTAATACTCAGTTTAAGATCGGATAGAAATTGAGCATGTAGTTTTCGATGTGCAACGTAGTTGTCACGTAATGAAAAAAAAAAAAATCATGCTTATCTATTACGTATTAATAATACGTTTTATCTAATGTTTTTTTTTTCCCTCCTCCTGTTGAGTAGATAACATTCAATTTTAATGTGACTCTCTTTATTAATTTCATTAACAATCGACACGCCGTTTCTGTCACTATCTTTCCAATATTTCCACGCTTATCGTGAAAGTTGTTAAATCATCTAGCTACGTTGGTGAATGAATTAGTAGTAGCTGGAGCATAGTCGATGTTTCAGCTTCTGACAGAAAGTAACTTAAAAAGCAAAGTGAGTTAACCTTGAACCCAAAAAGATGTGTCAAGCTGTTACTTCAGTATCATTTTCATTTCCTTGAAGAGTATTGTTTCTTTCTACAGAAAGAAAGCTTTCTATTTTTGTATTTAGAAT